ATCAAATTGTGACCTCCTGATTCACTGGTCAATGCTCAACCACTGAGCCACACCAGCTGGGCTAAGTATTGCAATTAGAATAGTCATGTTACATTTCTATTTCAAATAGAAATAGTTACCATCAGCCTGATTAAAATGAGAATCACACACACATACTATCATATGAACATTAGTAACAAATTTATGCCAATGAAAAAGGAGGACATTTTTCTGAAAAGCAGCTTGATTTGCAAACCTCTTTGGGGCTTCTGAAGGCTGCCTCTCAAGGAGATCCTAGGACTTTCCTGAGTCCATGAGCTCTGAGAACTTTCCGGAATTTCTCATGCTGCACATTTAAAGACAAAAGATTGAGTCTCTAACTCTGCCCTGAAGTGCTTGCCTGCCTGGTGGGGGACTTGTTGCTCATTGTTTGCAGTGTCTTCCCCACAACCCTATTCTTAATGCTCACTGTTCCACCTCCCTCTCCCAGACACATTAGCAGCGCAAGCTCTACGTGGCCTCTCTAGAGTAGACCTACAGCACAGGTTAGCTGTCACCCAACTGGCTTCCCCCTCTTACCTCCATGTCTGTGGGTGGAAAAGGAAATCCGATGCCACTGGGGGAATTTAAGAAATGACTATGGAAGACTTTCCTCCATGAAATGCGTTTCCAGCGGCTGGGGCCAGCAGAGAATCAGCTGCTTTGTTTAGCTACATATATCACTTACTGTACCAAGTACAGTGCAGGGACGCATCCAGGTTTTAAGAAAATGAAACAGGTACAATGTAGATGCTGGGGTTCGTGTAGCTGTTTAAGAGAGACTGCTTGGCCTTCAATAGGAATGTGCTTTTAGAAAGTACTTAGGATGGTCATTTTGATGGAACCACAGCAAGAATATTATTATAAAATAAATGACTACATATAAACATCCAAGTCATTTATTTCTTTTAAATGCACTTTTTGTGAGTCATGGTGATTCATTGTCTACAGTTTCCACGGTCTCTGACCTTTTAGAATAGCACTTCTTTCTCCGCTCTCTACAATAAATCCAATGGCAAATGTGAAACTTATCTTCGTGGTCTCTAACCTAATTTGACAAGGCTGTGTTTCTCTTAAAAGCAATGCATTGTGATGGCAATTCTGTTTCCAGATGAGAGAAAATAGTTCCAAGACGTGCTCAGCTGAGAAGCTTGTGGATGTTTCTGAGGACCCACTGTCTTCTCTACCATTCAGCGCGTCTCCGATCCCGTCGTGTACCTTGTCCAGGGTTCTCTGACTAATGTGTCCTTCCTCACGTGGGAGCTGGGAGGCTCACCGGCCTCTCTCTGGCTCCTGACGTCAGCAGATCTCCCATCATTATCTCTGAGGCTGAGTCACAACATGGAGCTTCGTTTGCTTTCAAGTGGCTACGCAGCCACATCCTCCTGGCCTGAGGCCCCGCCTCCAGCATGCGGACTGTAGCTGCCTCCTTCTGGGCTCACTTGTGCACTTTCCCCTCTACTTCTGCCCCATGCGGCCCTGGGGTCAGACCCCCTGCAGCCTGTCCTCCTGTCAGGCCCCTCCCCCCAGGACCTAGGACACTCACTGACTCCTTCAGGACAGTGCCTGGCACATAGGAGCTGCTTCCTAAATGCCTGCTCCATGGCACTGACCTGCACGGAACCTCATTTCTGGCTCATTTGTATACCCCTGGAGTTCCTCTCCTTCAAACCCCTTCAGATTATATGATATTTACTAACTACAGAGCTGTTGCTAAATAAAAACCTTGGGGGATGAAAGTTTTTCTGAAATAAAGGGTTTGCTGAGCTGTATTCTAGCCAGAAAAAGGACCAGATCCTGGAGCAAGCAGCCTGAGCCACCAGCGGTGGGTGGCCGGGAAGATGAGCGTGTGTGTCCTGGGATTCATGGGCCTCATATACAGTGAGTGTGGACAGGAAGATGTCACTTATTTGGAAAGAACTTACTTTGGCTACAGATAAAGGGGGTGGGAGAAAGGAAGTGGGGCACAGAGTCCTCTGGATTGGTGTGGGCGGGTGCGGTGGAGTCTGGTCATCGCCGTTCTCGCAAGATAAGAGCCGAAATAGTCACCAAGGTTGACCCAAAGTTTCAGTACATTCAGGAATGTGAGCAGCTTTAGCTGGGTTGGCCCGAGGCTGTTAACTGATTAGCCTCTTACCTCTCTCTCCCATCCTACGCTGCTGCTGCGATTGATTCAGGACATCTGCGGGTCTCTCTCTTGTCACGGGGAGGGACACTCCGAGAACCGCGTGTCCTTGAATCCCTTCTGACTCATTCGGAGGCCCTTGCTCAGTGGCAGCGCTTGGTAGCAGTGGGCCCTGGGCCATCCCCATGAGCACAACCTCCGGAAGAGTCCATTTCAGGGAACCACGTCTCTAACATGGAATCTGAACCAAACATAAAAACAAACAGAAACTAAAGCAATGAGTGCATCGACATGTCCATCGCACACATTAGGAGGCAAGCCCCGCGACAGCACGGGAGCTTGAGCTGGCAGGGCTGTCCTCTGTGGGCACCTGCAGGGCTGGGCTGGGCGGGCCTGGCCGCCATGTGAACGCTCTCTCCCTGTCCTCGCAGGGAAGCCATCAGCCGCGTGTGTGAAGCCGTCCCGGGCGCCAAGGGAGCCTTCAGGAAGAGAAAGGTACTGTCCTCTCAGCGCTGCGTCTGCCTGCCTCTCCCTCCTCTGTCCCCTCCGCAGCTCCCTTACACACATGGCTCAGGCCTCTCTTCCCAGGGCCTGGCACTGTTTCTTTGTGGTGTTTTGTTTTTGCCCAGGGAGAACCAAAAGGCACCCCTTGTTGAAAGGGGGTACCTTGCAGTGGCTCTTGTCACTTTAAAAATGGAAAGAGCTTAAGTCCCCTCTCTGCCACGTGGTTGACGAGATCAGCTGTTGCTGCCAACCCAGACGCCACACCCTGGTTCCTCGCTGTGGCCTCAACGTACAGACAGGGATGGCAACAGCCGCGTAGAACAGCCCGCCTTCTCCCAAGCTTCGGGTCACCCATTCACTCCATGGGCACAGCTCTCGTGGCAGACCCCCCAGCGCTGGGCTGGTGCAAGTTTCACAACGTCTCTCAGGCTGGGGGACCGAGAAGCACCAAGTTTGTGGCCTTGCCAGTTTTTGTCGCCATTTTCAAGCTCTAACATGACACCCTAAAAGGGAGCTGGGAAGAGGGGTGCAGACACCATTATACAGTGTCCACGCAGTTCACACAGGCACACTGGACACAGACAACCTGAACTGCAGGGGGAACAGCTGATGCAGCAAAAAGTAGGAAGTGATGAGTTTTGAGTATTTATTGTTTTTTAAATGTAATGTATTTAATTGCAAGTTTACATAATTAATTTTTAATAGCAGCTGTTTTTAATGGCCAGCTCATGATATTCCCAAACATTTGATCATTGTCTCTCATTAGCTAGCATGAGCGGCTCTAGAACGCCGCTGCGTGTCCCCATTATACAGAGATAAAAACTGAGGCACCGACAGGAGAGCCCATGAGGCCAGCAGGTGGTGGAGCCAAGCTCCAGCCCGACTACTTGGCTCTAGGGGCTGTGTGTTCAACCCCTGTACTCGACCTTTTCATCTTGAGGTGTTTGGACCAGAAGAAAAAAACAACTGGATTAAGAGAAAGCTCAAAAAAACTCTGAACTTAAGTGCCCAGTAAACACAGAAGTAAATACCCGCCATCAGGACCTGTCTGCACCTGGCCTGAATGTGGGGGCGCCCCTCTGTGTATCTCTGAGTCTGTCCTGAGGTGGTGGCGGGGGCAGGGCAGGCTGGTGCTTGCCTCTGCTGCTACCTGGGCTGTGAGTTGTTTGTGTCTTTGTAGCTTGGGGACATTGGTGACCAAAAGGGCAGCTGAGTGTCAGAGATAGAACTTTGGGTGAAGGCTCAGATGTGCTGGCCTGTGTTCTGGTCATCCCACAGGGGACATGGGAAGCAAGATGCCCCCAGAATCTTGAATATGGGAACTAGGAGGGTGTCTGAGAACAGAGCCAGCTGGCGCCTGAGCAGCAAGTCTTGGGGTCCCTCCTGGTTCTCTGGGTGCAGGTGATGGAAACAAAACCGACTTCTAGGCTCCGCACCAGGCACTGAATCAGGGCCCAGCAGCTCTGCCTTTCACTAGCTCAGGCAGGGGATTCACATGTGGGGCCAGCCTGGTTAGGAACTAGGGTTGGTTGGGATATCAAAGGGGGTGAGCTCTAATCTGAAGAGGAAGGTTGGGGGGTTAGCAATGGACAAGTGTTGGTAGTGCCCATGCAGGGACCCAGGAAGAGGTGCCTGGCTGAAGCATGCAGCCGCGGTCCCTGTGCCAAGGGCAATTATGGTCTGATGGGTACACCTGTTAGAGCCGAACGGAGTCTGTCACTCCGCGGTGCCCCAGACCCGTGTGTTCTGACTGGACCAGAGGACGTGACGGCCAGAGCATTCATGCTCCAGTCCTCCAGCAATGAGCGCTCTCACGGCTCAATGGGATTGCTCATGACCCCCGAGTGGACCGACTTAGCCTGGCCTGACTAACATGGCTCCCGGTGGATGAAGCTGGTTTCTGAGTGCAAAGCTGCAGGCCCTGGCCTGTGGCCCTTTCCCCAGGCTTCCACGTCACTCTCTCAGATGCATCCCAACATGAGCTGCCCGGGACCCTGACCCCGCCTTTCCCTCATCTCAGCGTGTGCATAGATGTTCATAATCCCCACACTGCGCATTCTAGAATCTTTGTGTTAGTGTCAGATCCATCCCCCCCCCGCCCCCGCCAGCTTATTCGAAGCACAATTTTCTTCATGTGCCTAATGAGGGTGGGAGATGGAGGTTTGGGGTGTGGCAAATAGGAACAACAGAGAGGCCCCAGCAGTGAGGCCTCCAGTCACTCAAATCGAAACTAATGCTGCTTGACTTCACAGCCTCCAAGCAAAATGCTGTCCAGCATCTTGGGCAAGAGCAACCTCCAGTTCGCGGGGATGAGCATCTCCCTCACCATATCCACCGCCAGCCTGAACCTGCGGACGTCCGACTCAAAACAGGTCTGTAGGGGGCTCAGGCCCCTGCCCTGCTCAGGGCCCC